GTGTTAGCCAGGATGGTCTCGATCTCCTGACCTCGTGATCCGCCTGCCTCGGCCTCCCAAAGTGCTGGGATTACAGGCGTGAGCCACCATGCCCGGCCTTTTTTTTGTTTTGTTTTGAGACAGAGTCTAGCTCTGTTGCTCAGGCCGGAGTGCAGTGGCGTGATCTCGGTTCACTGCAAGCTCCACCTCCTGGGTTCACGCCATTCTCCTGCCTCAGCCTCCCCAGCAGCTGGGACTAAATTAGCTCCGCTAATTGTTTTGTATTTTTAGTAGAGACGGGGTTTCACCGTGTTGGCCAGGAAGGTCTCGATCTCCTGACCTTGTGATCCGCCCGCCTCGGCCTCCCGAAGTGCTGGGATTACAGGTGTGAGCCACTGCGCCCAGCCAAGTGATGCAAATTTCTAAATGCTTTAAGGAGAGATGATAATACAGAACTGTCAGTTTTCTCTGGCCTTTGCTTTGTTGGTAACCCTGAGACCGGGCGCTGCCCTGCCCTCATGAGCCATTACCCAGTGAGTAAAACTCTTCCTCTGGGTCTGCGTATTGAGTGTCTTTTAACGTGGATGACCTAGGTGTGCGGCCAGCTTCCTCTCAGCAGATCCTAACCCAGGGTGTTCACCTTCGCAGGTGTGGGAAGAGAGGAGAGAGACCCGAGAGTGGGGCCGGCTGTAGGGAGGCATCCCCACAGTGAAGGATGCTTGAAGAATCAATCTTGGCTGCCCTGGAGCAGGAGCAGCTGGGGGAAGTCAAGTTGGAGGAGGAGGAGGCTGCCAGCCCAGAGGACCCCAGGCGGCCAGAGTCCAGGCTGAGGCCCGAGGTGGCTCACCAGCTGTTCAGATGCTTCCAGTATCAGGAGGACATGGGGCCACGGGCATCCCTGAGCCGGCTCCGGGAGCTCTGCGGCCACTGGCTACGGCCGGCTCTGCACACCAAGAAGCAGATCCTGGAGCTGCTAGTGCTGGAGCAGTTCCTGAGTGTGCTGCCTCCGCACCTCCTGGGCCGCCTGCAGGGGCAGCCACTCAGGGATGGGGAGGAGGTGGTGCTGCTGCTGGAGGGCATCCACCGGGAGCCCAGCCACGCGGGGCCGCTGGTGAGAGGGTGGGGCAGTGGACTGAGCAGTATACAGATGATGGGGACTTGATCGCCCCAGTGAACAATCTCTGGAAACTCCACTTTCCCCCACCTGACCATTCCTTCTTCACCTCTTAACTCCTGCCCTGTCTGACTCTCACCTCGTTTCTGTCCCATGTCCCCTCGGAGTCAGAAGGACACAGGCTGCCACCCCGGGAGTCACTTAACTTGAATGTGTTTTGAACAGGATTTTAGTTGTAATGCTGGCAAGAGTTGTCCCCGTGCAGACGTCACCTTGGAGGAAAAGGGGTGTGTTTCCCAGGTCCCCAGCCACAGCCCCAAGAAGGAATTGCCTGCAGAAGAACCTTCAGTGCTGGGCCCATCGGATGAGCCTCCCCCAACCCAGCCAAGGCCTGCCAAGCCTGCTGAGCTGGGACAGTGGAGACTTCCCCCAAGTTCAAAGCAGCCACTGAGCCCGGGGCCCCAGAAGACATTCCAGGCCCTGCAAGAAAGCAGTGAGGAGCCTGTGCCCTAGGAGGCCAAGGACTGGGTGTTGGGGAGCGGCCTGGATGTCTGGGGTGGGGTGAGAAGTGGGGCCTCCCCAGGTGACCGGGACAGGAGAGCACCAAGGTGTCTTCACAGGGCCCCGATGATGTGGTGCATCTCCTTGCAGCCACATGGCAGGCAGGGCTGCCTTCTAACAGTGCTTCCTCCCCTGTTCCCCAATGCTGTCAGGCCCCCAGGGCCCCTCACCATGGCCAGAGGAGAGTTCCGGAGATCAGGAGCTGGCGGCTGTGCTGGTGAGCTGGGCCGCACCCCAAGGTGTTCTCAAGCCCCAGGAACTTCCCTTCCACTGTAGTTTTAGCAAATCCATACCTTCCCTGATTCAGTCCTGGGAAGTGTTTCATTCCCCACAGGTTCCTGAGGCATGATCCTCTCTCACCAAGGGTTTCTGCTCTTGATACAGGAGTCCCTGACCTTTGAGGATGTGCCAGAGAATAAGGCGTGGCCTGCACACCCCCTGGGTAAGCAACCCTTCCCTGGAGTAGTGACCACTGATGCCTCTTTCTTTTTCTTTTCTTGTCTTTTTTTTTAAGAGATGGAGTCTCGCTGTGTTGCCCAGGCTAGTCTCAACTCCCGGGCTCAAGCAATCCTCCCACCTTGGCCTCCCAAAATACTAGGATTACAGGCGCGAGCCACCGTGACCGGCCAACACTGCTTCTTTGCCTGAAGTTCCAGACCCTACCTGACTTTTTGGTCTTTTTGTTTTTTGAAACAGGATGTTACTAGCCCAGACTGTGGCACAATCATGGCTCACTGCAGCCGGGAACTCCTGGGCTCAGGTAATCCTCCCACCTCAGCCTCCCGAGTAGCTGGGACTACAGGTGTGAGCCACCATGCCCAGCTAACTTTTTGTTTTGAGGTCAAATAAAGGGGCACCCTTGTTTGACCTCTATCCTCTCTACCCACCTACCAGGTTTTTTTGTTTGTTTGTTTGTTTTGAGACGGAGTCTCGCTCTGTTGCCAAGGCTGGAGTGCAGTGGCACCATCTCGGCTCACTGCAACCTCCGCCTCCCGGGTTCAAGTGATTCTCTTGCCTCAGCCTCCCGAGTGGCTGGGACCACAGGCGCACGCCACTACACCCAGCTAATTTTTTATTTTTTGTAGAGACGGGGCTTCACCATGTTGGCCGGGCTGGTCTCGAACTCACTCCTGACTTCAAGTGATCCACCCGCCTCGG